TGTGCACTATGCCGCGTCTTGTCTGACTGTCTGCGCCATCCCACCGTAATAGTGTCCGCCGCAACATATTGGTGCAGGAAATCTACTGTAAACAGGAATCTGGCTGATGTATTTAGAACTGTCTCATTGTGAAGGGCAGACAAGCAGAAATAACGTGCTATAGCAACCTAGAGTGATTATCGCGCACCCTCAACTATCTTAGCCCGTAAAAGGCCCTTTCCCATTCAAAACACCAAGCAGTCGAACAGCCCAAGAAAGAATGCATACCTCCTGGCCGTAGAACATATGCATATTCAGCCAGCAATCCTGGAGTGATTATTCGCCATTTATGCTTTTTGTTCTTGAAGTGTGGATCAGGGAATAGGAAGAACATCTTCGATAGCTGATGCTTTTTGAAATAATTAGGCAAGTATTTCATGGCATTGGAACGTAAACAGGCCACATTCCGAAAGCCGTTCGTATCTGCATGGCGTATCCTGAGGGCTTTGATCTTCTCCGATACAAAGTCGGAAACCTGCAAATTAATCATTGATTTCTAGCGAAGTTGTCAGATTCAAGGCAGTAACCTCACAAGCACGATGTCCATTACATTACCTGTTAAGAGATATATGACGTGTCATTGACGTCACATAATACGTTAGTGAGTGTCTTGTGACGTCCACGACCCGACCTCCTCTAACAGATCATGAAATGTCATCTCTTATCACGCAATCTGTAGGATTTGGACCTATGCTACACCTGCTCCAGAACTTCATTTTAAAAAAGGAGAAGTGAAGAGAGGGATTTAAGTTGGTTGAGGGATATACCCACCTTCACGCGTATTTCTAGTCCAACCATGAGCGTTTCAGGGAACATTGGCGATAATTTCATAAGGAGACCTCCATAGCCGCAACCAATATCAGCAAACTCAACTTGCCTTCCTTCGGCATAATCTCCAAAATACTTCGTCCAGTCCATCCTGCAACATTCCCCAAATAAAAAGCACATTTTGCACGACTCATATAGGAACGAGCTGATACCTACTCTTCTGGTGTTCTTGGATATTCGATGTCATGATCCGAGTGGGGATTTGAATGAGCTCGTTGCCTTAAAAAGTGGAGGAACAGAAAATGAGAGTGGTAATCAAACTGGAGATCAATGTAGTCAGGTTATCCGCTTCCCTGGGCCATCTCAACGAACAAAAAAGGCGTACACCCCTGTTTGGAAGCTTGAAAAGGAGAAGTTGGATGATGGGGGGACGCGCTTTGCTTTTCCAGTTGACGTCTCGAGCCATTGAATGGAGGCCCCGTGAAATCTTGTTAAGCCACGAAATGATACCAGCCAAATTTTGCGGAGACCATCTGTCAACTCCTTGCTAATTCATGATGAATTCACTTTATGAGCTATTTCATCAGCTTACCAGTGTTGACAGGTTCTACCAGAGTGAAACTGGTAAACCCGGAAGTATTAGAAGCAGCGAATGGGTAAAATGCCCTTCCCCCCCACCTCCGTCGCCGAACTGTGTCGCTTGAAAAGAAGTGGCATCATAGAATGTGGCACACTCACACCACCGCAAGGCACTCCTAAACTTCCAACCCAAAAACTGAAGGAATATATGACCAATAAAGCACGACTATGCATCAGAGTAGGAAATGAGGTGCATCACTAAATCTACGCTCCGCCCACCCCAAACAAGTTTTTGACGGCGAGGTCTAGTCACCAGGAAAATCATAGATAACAATTAGTCTGGACTAGACAAAACAAACAATTAACAGTTCGTTCAGGGGAGGTACAGTATCCATAGAAAGGAAAGTGTTGATAAAGCTTCAAAGTAGAAAAATCACTGATACGAAGGGGACGAAATAGAAACAGACCGATAGAATTTCTTTTGCGGCAAATCGGGAACAGCGGCGCCTTCCAATGCCGGGACCCGTTGGTCCACTTCCATTTCCTGAAGTGGAATTTAGGAAGCAATCTAACGATAAAATCCACTGCAAAAAAAAACAGACAAATTCGGCTAAAGGTAAGTGATAGGGTAATCCTGCACAATCACCAAAACACACATACCGTATGAAAACTCTTCATTATTAAGTAACCTGAATAGAGTGAACCAGCACATAAGACAACCAAC